AACGATCCATAATCTCACCAATTTCTTCACTGAAATTTCACTGTCTTCCGGAAATATTCCCAAATACAGAAGGCATGCTTTTAATTCAATAGGCAAGTAGTTGTAACTCAATGCGAGCACGCGCAGACATTATTCATCAGGATCTTTCGTTACCAACGACTTGATATTCTCAGCAACATTCTCCCATTCTTCTTTTGTTCTCTTAGATTTGGAGAGAATCCCAGCAACAACAATTGTTAGTGATAGCCCTTGACATTTGTTTGCAATTTGCTCCCCTATAGGCACTAGTTCAGGCGGGAAGCTTTCATTTGCAAACGCCTTGCTCTTAAAAAGGTCCCAACTCTCATCTGAATTCATGAGACTCATCTTTAAAGAAAGATTGCTTGAGCTAGCATAAATAGCTACCTCAGTATGACGGGAAGTCAACAATATTCGACTCCTATTATCATCAACTGGAAAACATTGTCTCATGTCATCCCATGCTTTATAGCTCCACATGTCATCCATGACAATAAGATACCTCTTACGTTTCAATTTTTTCTGTAGTATGTCTGCTAGCTCTGATTCATCTCTGCTGTAGACGTTATGATCGATTTTGATGATAGATTGAAGAAGACTCACCAGGATTTCCTTCACATTGTATTCTTTAGATATAGTAGCCCAAGCACGAACGTCAAAATGGGACTGAATTGAAGGATGGTTGAAAACTTGTTTTGCTAAAGTTGTTTTACCAATGCCTCCCATCCCAACAATCGGGATGACTTTTAGTTCATCAGTAGAGCCTCTTGTGAGTTCTTCAAGCATCCTTTTCTCTTCCTTGTCACGTCCCATCATATTGTTCGAAACTTGCAGATTTTCTGAGCTACTTGTCTCACGTGCCAAGGACCACATCGATGCTTGCCTACCTTTATGATGTTGAATCTTTTTCGACTCTTCTAGGACACAGTCTATGTCCTTTGCTACTCGTAGCAAGCTCTCACGAAGTTCCTCATGTGCTTTTCCTCTCTGCATTTCATCTTCTGCTATCATAGCTTCTCTTAGTCCAAATTCAATCCTGTCTTCCGCGACATTTGCAAAACCTTTTATCCGCGCTTCCAAATCTGTCATTTCTCCATAATCACTGATTTGTTTCTCCTTGAGAAATGCTTCTAGAAAACTGACTTTCTTATGAAGATCAACGATTTCTTCTTCGTGGTAACAGATAAGGGATCGCATTGGCGAATCAGACATCAGTAACAGTTCCATTGTTCTTATAAGAGATGCTATGCTTGCATAGGCCATATCTATTTCCCCTGCTTCCAAATACAAGTAATTAGGACCTGAAACAAGTCATAGGATGGCAATAACACAATTCGCGAAGTTATCAAAAGAGAGAGGTACGTAAATTCTACGATAAATCACGCTATTTTCAGTCTTGATCACTCTTCACTATTCCGATTTCTCAACCATATCGCTGCACGGATATTAGTTAGAAACAATTGAAGCTATATATAAATTGGTAACTGTCAATTTCACTGGTTGCCTAATTCCTTGTAGCTCTAGGAATGGCAATGGGGCGGGGCAGATGGGGGCCAGGGTGGGTTCAAGGCTATGCGTTGGGCGGGGCGGATGGGGGGCAGGGTGGGTTCAAGGCTATGCACGGGGCGGGGTGGGGCAGATGCAGGTTTAAGGCTATGCCGGGCGGGGCGGGTTTAAGGTTGTGTGGGGCAATGAGGATGCGGGTTTAAGGCTATGCTAGGCGGGGCGGGTTTAAGGTTGTGTAGGGCTGGGCTGGACGGGTTGCGGGTATATGTGATGTGGATTTAAACTTAATTTTAACTTTGTACGTCTTACAACTCATAAGAGTCAATAGAATATTATTTATTAAGATAATTTGTTTAAAGCTACTAAAATAATACAATTTCTTACATGTTTGATAGTTGATCTCTAAAAAAACAAAATTTTAAGTCATTATGTATCAAATTAATACACTTAATGAAAAAATGAATTTATTTTTATGAATTTTAGTTTTAGTATCAAACTTGACTAGAAAAAGAAAATATCAAAAAAAATCATGAAGCGCAGGTTCATGCGTGGCGGATTAAAAATTTCGTGGGTTAAGCTCAACCCGCCCCGCCCCATTGCCATCCCTACGCCCAACCCAACCTATCCCAGGCAACTAAACGAGATAAAGAAAGCAACTGACAATGTGTAAAACCTTGCTGCGGGAGAGTCTTTCTAATGAGAATAAAAAAAGTTTTTGGGCAAGACAAGAACGGAAACTCGCCCTTTGACACCAAGGGAATAAGAGCTGTTTGTTGGTGATGACTTGGCGAAAGGAATCTATTGGAGAAGGTTCTCAAACCTGGTTACAACCAACGCAGAATCAACAAGTTCAGTCGAACAAGATAATAAATATGGTTTGATAAAGTCATAATAATCTTCAAAATTTTAATGAGCTACAATTCCTACAGCCTTTTGAGTCTCTTAACAATAGTCCTATTTATCATATCCTACATCTTCTCTAACTTACATTGTTCTTTATCCTCCAAAAATACTATCGCACTTATATCGAATTCTTCCAACACACAACCGATAACATTTTTAAATGATCCGAGCAAAATAGGTAAGAAAAGAAGTGTATAAATATGAGATTAACAATATAAGAATCAAGATTAGAGATCATACAAAAAATGCAAAGAAAATGACATACCTCCAATAGCTGAAAAGTGAAAGTGTTAATTAGTTACCAAATATAAGCTATATATATATATATATATATATATATATATATA